CTGGAACCTCTCAGGGTTTCTTGACAGTCTCTTCCAAAGTCCGGCATTGTACAGCTTGAGAAACCTTGCTTTATGAGATTTCCCATAGAAAGTCTAATTGCAGGTAGTATCTTGAAAGCCACAGAGGATCACAGAATCACAGAATTTCTAGGTTGGAAGAGACCTCAAGATCATTGAGTCCAACCTCTGACTGATGCCAAGAAATATCCTCTGCTCCCACATCACATTCCAGAACCCACATCGACTGGTAAACTAATAACCCTTTCTGCATAACAACTTCTCCAGAGGTGAAGTAATTAGTCACAGTCTCCAATATTTTAAGTGCAAGAAATTCGATAAGAAATTGAACATAGAAATATTGCTCCAAATAATTTCCTTTTATTATTCCAAAGCGCTGAACCCATTTCTGAGTGTTTCTCAGCTTCTCAGCCTGTGCCTAATGGATGAACCTCCCACAAGTACCAACAAGCAAGTGATGACTACTTCATTGTGGGGCTGAGTGCCGAACAGGGCACAGAAGGCGTGGCAGAGGTGGTCACTTTCTGTGTTCACCCACATTACTGCTGCTTTTCTCTTCTCCAGCTTTGTTTGCTGGATCTTCTTCAAGCATATTCCTGAACAGGACTTGAAATTAGTTTTGCACAGAGCAGGTAAAACTTCTGGAAGCTGTGCAGCAATGTCAGGGAGCCAGCACTCATTTTCCAAAAAAGGTTTGCTCCTACAGCCACGGGGATATTTAGATGCCAAACACTCATTTCTTGGAAGCCACAGGCAAAGATTTCGGTGGCAGAGGCTGCGAGCACAACGTAAGCTCCAAGCTCTCACGAGGCTCCTGGGAGATGGCAGATGTGGGCTAACGATGTCGGTGCAATGCTCCACACAAGCATGGTGTCGCAGCTCGGTGGATGAACTGCTCTCATAAGAAACCCAGGCCCATTCTGCATCATTCCTCCCTGAACACGACTTTCATCCAAGCCCAAATGCTCACTCTGCTAAGACAAATCGCACTCCCATTCCTTCTCCATTGTTGCCAGAGCTCATTTCCTCTATTGTTCTTCTGTAAATTAGGGCAATTCATCCAGAAATGAAATGCAGCCCTATACAAAGGCCTTGGCAAACCTAAATGTTGTTCAAGGGAGCACAGAGAATGCTAGTTCTCCTAAAAAGAGTGAATTTCACAGTAACTTCTTTTGGCCAAGTTTCATAATTAATTTTGAAGTGAGTTCATTAGAAACAATCTCTGGGCTTTAGTCCACCTTAAATATATAACAAATATTCTCAAAACTAACTATTTTCCTCCTTTTCCTTGCTTATTTTTCTTCTAATTGTTAATAATTTTAATTAACACCAGAATTTCTCAACAGCATGCCATCTCCTCCTTTTTCATTATAGGTGTTAATTGCAGATTCAAATAGAAAGTGAAGGAGAAATTGAGGTAAACATCAAAAGCAGCACAACACTGCTGGATGTGCAGAAGAACAATTATTCCCACAGTTATCTTATTAGGGCTTTGGTTGATGTATAACAAAGTTTTAAAACTACTTTTTTATCATTTTTTTTATTTATTATTATTATTTTTTATAACCTCCTATATCCCAGAACCACTGTGCCATCCTTCCCTGCAGTCCCCAAAAGCTCAGGAGCCCCTTGGGTAGATCCCAGCCAAGGCACTGGTGCCCTGGCCCTCCCTGCCCCACCATCACAGCTCCAGATGCATCAAACACATCCCCCTGAAGCCCTACACACTGTATGCTTCATATGGGACCTGCCCAGCCATGGGGATGCAGGAAGGAACTTTCCTTTCCCTGCCTGCCAATGAGCATGGGAAGGATGGCTAGGGGCTCAGGACACTCGCTCTCATTGACAGTAGTCATTATTTGCCAGCTGACAATGAAATATAGGCTTTATCTTTCTATATTAAAGGTATAATTTTAGATTAAAAACAAAACAAACATCTGCTAGATCAAAACACATCCCTTACCTGCCCAGCACTGACCCATGAAGTACATAAATGTTCATAAGAGCTTTGTCCATACTAATTCTGAATGACATTGTCGTTGCCATTTTATAGCTTCCATATGTGCTGCTCCTGCCGTAAGACACTGTCCTTTCTACTCATGACACTTCGAGAATTAAGAATTATTTATTCTTACCTGTAGGTCAGACTTTCTTTCATTAACATCTAGTTATGCCTTCATCTACAGCCTCAGTCGTGTCTATTTGTCTTGGAAATCCTTCTGGTTTTCATTCTGCATCCATTTCCCCCCAGCATCCTGCTGAAAAACAAACACGCCTAAGTCCTGACCTGAGAAACACCAAGACCTTCCAAACCATGCTGAGCCATTTCTCAACACAAGGACGAAAGGACAGTGCAAGCTGTCACTTCTCCAAGGCCACTCTCACCATTCCTACAGGGCTCCTTGGTAGAAACCATCCTCAGTGCTGAGATTTAGGGCATCTCCAAAGCTCAGACATCCTTTGGTATCTGGCGTTTCCACTTGTGCTAGAGAAAGGATCCTGCATGGCCCTATTTCAGACATAGACTACAGGACAATGACGTGTCTCCAAAGGCCCCTCTCTCTGTATCACTGAATTTCCCCTAAAAAAAAATAATTGCTTTCTATTTTCCAAGTTTCTTAATAATTTGTATATATTCTGTCTTCCCACCCCCCCCTTTTTTTTCTTCTTGTTGTTTTCTTCCTTTTTTTTGTTTCTTTTTTTTCCCTCCCCCCAATACATCCTGGTTTGTGCTACCCAACATCAACATTGACTAGTTTTAGCAAGTATTTGGCTTTATTAATGATGGTGTATTTGTGTATTTTATTTTTATTTTTTTAAAATAGACTACTACTCCTCTCCTGTCCCCAATCCCCAGTCCAGTCCAACTCTCCCTTCCCTAAGAGAAACTGTGCAATAAAGTGCTGGGCAATCCCTCAGGAAAGGTTCACTTGATTTAACTACAGTATTTCACAAGCCTTTCCAATTTAAACCCTCAAAAAGAGCCTCAGGAGAAACACTGCTGCTTGCAGCCTCAATGCTTCATTTTTCTGAAGAAGTCCTTGTCCGCCCATTAGATGCTCACTTCATATCAGTTTGGTCCCCAGTGTTGCCTTCACAGCCTATATGCTCTCCTCTCCCTCTGCATCTCATGTAAAGCCACTGATCACTTTTGTCCCCCAGTTCCTTTCCCATCTCCTTCAACCTGTAAACAGAGCATAAAATAAGATTTTTGGAGGTCTTTGCAGGGTCTGTACTGGACCGTGAGTTTGGGGCACAGCTGGGCAGCTCTGCTGAGCACTCCACCTGTTTTGCTCACCACTTGTTTTCCTCTGCTTTCTGACTACTCCAGCTTTTTACTTTCCGCTATTTCTCTGCCAGCATTCCTCAATTCCCAGCACTCGTTTTCTGCTTTCAGCTGTTGAGTCCTCCCCTGTGAAATGTTGCTCTCCTCTCATGGATTTTCTTCTTCTTTAGGGTTTATTTTACTTTAACTTGCATTTTTCCAAAAGGAGCTAAGACCTCTTCTGCTTTAATTACTGCTCCAGTTAGCATCCTCCAGCCTTCTTCCCACCCCTTTCATTTTCACCGCTTCCCCCCAGTGGAGCTGGCCCATTCACTTCTATAACTCCCTAAAATTTACTTTCTTAAGTGTAGTGCTATGGGCATAATTCATCCGTAAATCAAATTCGTTTCCTACTGGGATAATCACACAATCTTCCTTAGATTATTTTTTTTGAATCAGTTCTCATTTTTTCCTGCCTGCTAATTATATCCATAAAGATACATATTGGGGCAAGAAAGCAGAAGTCAAGTCATACTTCAAACATGCATTTTCCTCTCTTCCTCTCTCTCCCCCATCCAGAACAAACTACTGTTCATATAATTTAGAAGGACTGAGATTTCTAACCAAAATTAAATACGTATAAATATAGCCATACAGCTATATATGTTATCCAAAGACAGGTCATAAGCTGATGTAACTCAGGATAGGTCTATTGCCCTCAAAGTAAATGCATCAGTTTCTAGAAAAAAATCACAGGAGTTTTGCAGACACAGCACAGCTGAGAACCAGAACTACAGTTAAATCTGCTGTTGTTTTTTGTTTTCCTTTCTCTTAAAATGATGAGCTAACTGGCTTTTTTTTTTTTTTTTTTTTTTTTTTTTTGAGCCATTAATAGTGTGGAGTTTAATTTAGAAGCAAAGCTAATGCACAGGAAAACCAAGCAGCACAGATGACAAAATTATCACACCTACCCTGGTACTGGCAAGCAGAGTAAGGGCTGAGTGCTTGCACATGTGGCTTACTTGCATTAGTGTGAAAACAAGTACTTTGGGAAAAGTATTTTATTATTCAAATTGGATTCTTTTTCATGTCAATTCGTGACATGACATCCATTTTTGTGAGTTTTTCCTGTCAGGAGAGAAACTTGCTTACATCTATCTTTGATGTGGTTTTACTTTTCAGATTATCACTGGACAATGACAAAAAAACATCTATACGAATGTGTTGCCTTCATATGTGCTTACTTCAGAGTGAGGGAGAAGAGAGAAAACCAACCCAAACATACAGAAAACAGACAGAGCACAACTATTTGTAACGCGTAGACAAAGAGTTTCCTACAGCAGAGACATATCCCTGGGCTTCTTGCTGCTCCTATAAAACAAATAAGAAATATACAAAGTACCTCATAAAGCAGCTTGTTAGATTTTATTGCCAGAAATCCATTATCCTTCATATTATCATGCAAATCCTCTCACTGCATTGTCTGAAAGCAGCATTTCAAAAATATATATGTATAAGAGACAAATTCTTTTGTGCATGCCACTTGCACATTAACAGTAATAAGAGTTTCTGTGCACCTGCCGAGGTGAGAATGGACTGCCCACCTGCCTCCCCTACTCAGGAGGGTAAGTTGTGAATTGCTGCATATATATATATATATATATATATATATATATAATTATTATTTTTCTCTGAGAGATCAAAGCCGGAAGGCAAGATAAAGGGGAAAGGAAAAATTATGAAAATAAAAAGTGTACCCACACACATAAACACCCACACACCAAGAATCAGGATGCTTCCATAACATAAAGATGCGGAATTAAGCATCTTTCTGATCCTTGGTAGTCTGCTAGATTACCAAGGTAAAGTCTCCTTTCCTATGCTCTGTGGTTCTGCCCACAGCTGGACAGGATTGCAGCTAGTGAGGGGAATATGCTGGAAACAGAGAAAATTGCATAAAATTGCATTTGTTCTTTATTTCACAGAAAATGTAATTACCTTGTATATGTAACTTCCTGATCAGAAATTTCAAATCCTTTCCTCCAGTTTCAACTTTTGTTAAACTTTTTACTTTTAATTTTTATTTTTATGAATTCTGTATTTAAATCACAATCAATCAGCTCCAAATAGATCCTGAGAAAAAGGCTATTTTGTGGTGTTTTCTCCCACTTTCTGTCCAGAAGTTGTCATAACTTCCTTTCATTTTAAGACCAAAGTAGAAGATTGTCTACCAAAACTAAACCCCATCACTTCAATATTATATAAAACAGCAAAACTGTTCTTTTTTTTTTAATATATATATTATTATTATTGTTTATTATTACATTTCCATGTTTTAAGGTTTTCTTACACTCTGCCACCATGCAATAGACCCAAAAGAATATGGGAAAATTTCAGTCTACAGAAAGATGCTTTTAGTTTGACTTAATTTCATTGTTCAGCATGATGGAAAGAATGAATGCTATAGCACCAAGCCTCCCATACCATAAAATCAGCTATGCGGGGAGGTTGGCTTCCAGGAGCACAGCTTGTGGTGCTAAGTGCCAACATCAATTACAAGGGAACAAAGATTTCATGAACCTACAAACACCATGGGACATATCCCATTAGCTGCACTGACAGGCTGTTCTCAGAATGCTTTGCCCAGAGCAAGACGTGGATGGGTCCCCCTGCTACTACACTATTTAGCACCTTGCAGAGTCTCTAGCACATACTGCTTCACCGCAGTGCTACAGGCCAGGGAAGGAATATTTTTCCCATTTCACAAAGACGAAAAAGAGGTGTACCACCTCCTTGAAAATCCCACAAGGAATCTAGCCACCAAACCCAGCGACTCCCGTGCTCTTCCAAACTCTGGCCTCCACCGTCAGAAGAGAAATCTCAGTTTGGAGACCAAGCTCGTCTCTGGGTGGGGAAACCATGCAACCACTCTTACCCCTCCTCCTCCTCCTGACACCAGTCCCGGTGATGTCTCCATGTAAGCAGGAATCAGCTTTTAAATTAACTTTGCTGAATAAACAGAAGGGAAAGAGAAAGAAAAAACAACCCTTGCTGCCCTCATTGAGTGCCTCTGGAGCCCGGGACCACATAGGGAGGCTCAGCTGCCAAGTGCATCACAGGGTCAAGCCACATTTTGAATTCATTCTTTCAGTGGTTCTGGAAAGATAAAAGACAAAGTTATAATGTTGTAGGAGATATAAGACAAAGTTAAATGGTGCATAAACAAATCCGATCCTGTGTTTGACCTATGGGGGAGGAGGAAGAGCTGGGTGTGCTGCGTGCCGTGCATCTTCTAGGAGATGAATGAAAAGGTGATTGGAAACTTATCCATACACTTCATAAGCTTCTGCCATTCACTAAATGGTACCTAATAAACCTTATTGGATTCCATATTTTGTCGGGAAATGACTCTTTCATAGCTTTGTCCCTTTAATGGATACTCATTTAGGAAAGTACTATATCGGTTTTATTGCATCAAAAGGAATAAAAGATTTTAAATGAATCTTAATGCTCTCTCAAAGTGCTGGAGTCAGGGACTTCAAGCAAAATTCACAGCTAGAAGCAGAATCTTTCACAAGCTTTTGAACGTACAGAAGAAAAACTTTGGGAACAGAAGTATTTTATTTTAACAATCCTTAAGTCTCCTTTCTTATTTTATTCACGCTGGTCACTTATTTCACCTCTCCTCCGTTTTCCTTGTCTCCAAGTTTCTCTTAAACCTCCGCAGCCACCTCCTCCTCCTCCCCCCACCCCGACTCCTCTTCCAGCTAATGCACCCATTCCTGCAAAGAAGAGGCAGTTTTCTTCCCGTCCTATTTCACAGGTGTCTGCTGAGTTTGTGTATTTTCACATGTTTTTCCCCCACAGGCTTTTTATCAATACATCTGGGAATCATAAAATAACAGTCTTATTTTCTAGCATGATTGTTCCTGAATAGTGGGAAATACTACAGAAACAAGAAAAACCTCCCGCTCTCCTGCTTTCTGAGGCTCCCAACTAATTTCCCTTAAGCAAGTCAAACTGACGAGTTTGTGAAGATTTCCCACTGACCTAAAGACATGGCATTTATTTTCATATTTACTCCACGTGACCTCATTTTACATAGGTACATTTTTCACATGTAGCTACTTCCCACACATTCCCACTTACCATGCCCAGCATCCTGGCAAAGGCCAGTTATCCAGCACAGATGCATCTGCTCCAAGTGGTGCCCATTCCTTTTTGGCAATCTTGCTCTCCCTTTTTAACCTGATGTCATCCTCAACCCATTCCCCCTTCCTTCTGTAGGTTTTCCTGCAGGAAATTCCATCATTTGTGATAACAGCTCCAGCTTCCCCACATGCATGCACCTACCCTCTGGGAGCAGATCACAGGGGATGAATCAGTATCCAAGATGTGCAGTCCAGGATAACGCACAGTTGAGGTAAGTAAAGTCTTTCCATTAATTTCTATTTCTCAGGCCTGCAGCCTAATCTGAAAATATGTCCAGTACCAGCATCTGGAGTTAGTATCAGAGGTGAACATGCCTAATTCATTGTAGGACCAGGACTAATTGTGGCAAAATCATTAAACATGAACAGTTTCCCTGGGATTTAATCATACAAAATAGCACTTTTCGTCTTCCAGATATAGGTATACAATCAGGAGAAATTCAGTTAGCAAGGTATAGCAAGTTGCCATCTGTTAGATGAGCCATAGCTGCTAACTGAGCCGTTCTCCAAGTCCGCTCCATTTGTAGGATAAAACATCTTTGCTCAATCCCCTGCAAAATGCAACACATCCACAGCACACCTCTCTGCCTGCTTCACAGCTCAGCAGTCCTGAGCAGCTCTCACGGGCTGCTAGGAGTCAGCCCACAGCTAGGGAACCCAGCTGCACAGTTCTCTACCCATTCACATCTTCTAATTCCAATTCAGTAATGAACTTCCCTTTCAATGACTCGAGGAGTGATTTGCTTTGTCTTGCATATCTCAGCATCTAAAGAACTTTTGACAAGGACTATACCTAGATTTTCTGATGTAAACATATAATAAATCTAATGTTGTCAAGCACGGTGGCATTTTTATTTTATTTTGAAAGAGAATTTAATCTAACTTCCCAGGGGATTCTTCTCTTGTGTCATAACAAAGTCTGGCTTGTAATGGATTTCCCATTTTTCTTTCTAACTCGAATAATGACAAAATTGCTGCGCAGAGCGGCAGCATTCTGTAATATGTCACAAAATGCAAGCGTGAAGTGACAGTTGTCTCTGAATGGCTGGGCTCAGCCCAAGCCCCCATTTCCAGCAGCACAGGTACTTAGCTGCTTAATGTCTCCCCACAATCAGCCCCTGGCCAGACTCGGAGCACAGGGAAAATCCTCATGGAATAGGAAAGAAAGCAGACAATGGAGGGGGGCAGCGGGGGGAGAAATCATAAAAATAAAGAAATCGATAAGTAGCACTTAAGGACCGAGCTTTCAATTAATGTAATGTTGATACAAAGCAGCTAAGAATCTGGTTCATAAATATCTATCTCTGTATGTCATCCTAAATAACATTTTTTTAAATATTAAATTTATGTCAAGCAATAGTATTTAATGGAATCTGCGTATCCTTTGGGGAAAAATACCTCTATTACATTCCATTATGAACCCTTATGTATCAAAGGATTAAAAGCTACTTCTCTCTTCAGTGGCAAAACTTTCTGCAAGCAGTTCTAGAATCCTTCCAGTGCTGTAGAGCATCCTCAGAAAAGTAATGTTTTCTTCTGTAGCTGGGATGACTGGGTATATTTTGCTAGCTCAAAAACTGTACTGGACCTTCCTGGCAGAAAGACAAGCTGGTGCTCACTGTACAAAGTTGTATTTGCCACCGAAAAATAAAAATAAAATTTCCACTGTGTTTTGCATTGTATACCTCAGGCAATGAGCTCAGTAATTAGTGGGTGAGCAACCTCACACTTAGGGTACCTTGTGTTCTGTAACATTTACTGTAGTGAGAAGTCGTCATGGGAACCTGGAGGCAATAGCCCTGCTCGCATTTCCCCATACGGTTACACAAATCCTAACTCGCTCTCAGCTGTCCCCCCTCAACAGCAGAGACCTTATATTTAAGAGGCCATGCCCTATCAAGCCAGGTCAAGACCTGAGGTCCCTTACACAGCACTGGCAGATGCTGCTGTCTCTTCTCCCTGCTTAACGTTAATGACTCCTGCTGGGTTTCCTCTGTAGCTGATCCCAAAGCACTCTGAGAGAAGGTTGGGGTTATTCTTTCCACTCGACAGGTGAAGTTGCCCCATGCCCTGCCACCTGCTGATGGCTGGTGCCGAACTCCCTCCATCACCCAGGCATCAGTCCCCAAAACCCATAGCAGTAACAGGGTGGCTGTGGCCTTGTCCTCTGGCAAGACGGAGGCTCCTGTTGGGTGTCCACCAAGAGGTGGATGGTGCCGAGGCTCATCGGCCTCACAGCTGGGCTGCTCTCGATGCTAATGTGGGGAGAGGGGGAGAGGGAGTTGTGTAATTGTTCTGAAAGCATGCCAAGCAGCTCGTTTGCAGAGTTAAACGGTCTGTGGTGTAATTAACAGAGGGAAAACTGTAGGGCTTTTTGTTACCTTGTGACAGAAGGTCGCTCATTTCCTTGTTCTGGTGAGGCTGGAGGAAAGGGGCCACACAGACAGGGCAACCACTGAGTGAGTGTGCCTGGACCTCTGCACTGTTCTGCAGCTCCTGGCACCTGCAGCTCTGTTCCAGGAGCATGTGTGCTGCTTGAAAAGATGTACAGTGTCTGGGCAGATAACTCATGGGGATCCGGAATGTAAGCGAGGATCTAGGAGTTGCAAAGCTGGTCACTGCTAGACTGAACTTCAACACACCTTGGTGTCAGAGTCCTGATTTAAGAGTTCAGCCCCCCCTCTGCCATACTTTGCACCATCCCTCCCCCTTCAGGCAGCACAGAGCCGTTGATAACAGCCTGGGGCCAGATTTAGATACTTTCAGCGTCTCCTTCTGTAATGTTTGCAGCAGATTTTTGTTCTGTATCAAGGAGCGCTGAGTCCTTTCGAAAACCATCAAACTGATTTCTCCTTTCCAGCTGCTACGAAATCGGACATAAAAGCTAAGAGGGAACTAAACCCTCAGTGAGAGCTGGGTCCCACTCAGAGCTCACCCACACCCATCCCTCTGCTGCAGAGACAGGCTATCGGGAGGAGGAGACGGCTGTGTTACTGAAAGGGCATCCTGCCCCTGTTTGTGGTCACAGTGATGTGAGTGGGGCAGTTTCTCCTCATGTAAGCACACATTCACTATACCACAGCAAATTCCTCCCTTTTTCCTGCTTGCTGTTGGAAGATGAGGCTGCTGGAAGATGCTGCCGCAAGTGGTTTCCCAGCCACCCTCCTCCCATCGCTCCCACCCCCACTCACCGCTTTCTCTTTTCATTTTTCGAGAGGCTGGAATATCGCAGGATAAAGAGACTGCAGCTGTGTTGGGGAAAAGAAACCAGTCACGCCTCAGCAATTTATGGACAATTTCCCATTAATAAGAGATAATGGAGTGCAGTTCAATGGATTTGCAATTGTACACTTGCTCTTTGAGGATATGGAGGGGGATCTGACAGCAGTTTGTTCCTCTCAGAAATGGCATTACCATGATTTTGTATATCCCATTGTAAGGAGGGAGGTTTGGACAGTTTAAAATGGTTTAACAGCCTATTAGAAAAACGCAGGTGTATCAAGTTATTGAAATGACCCCAAATACTGTTCCTGCAAGGGAAACATCTGATACAAATTACCCATGGGCTCACAGATCCCACCTGCATGCACTCAGTGGGCCAGTGCAAGAGCAAAGGTCTGCTGGTCTTTGTGAGTATTTGTGACTCAATTCAGTTCTGCTTGCACATGAGGCGGGGAAAAACCATGGCAGGGGATGATCCAGGAGACATTTAGGATGCAGATCATGCATTTCCATACCAATTTTGTGGTGGGTTGGCATGCTCAACATCCATACATTGCACACAAGCTTTTGGGGAAGGCTAGCCTGACCACAGGCTCTCCCTGCCCCATCGTAATAGCCTGGGGTTATTCTGCCACTTTGTGCTGCAAATCCATGCAGGAACAACACAGCCTGGTTATTGTGAGGAGGTAGAGTTCTCAGGGGTGTGAGGCATGGGTAAACAGAGTCACAAAATTGTAAGCTTATGCAGGAATTTTCTCCTGAACCTTGTCTCTGGATGTATGATTGACCCTTGCAGAACCCAGGACTCAGTGCCAGATTAATCTGCTCACCCATGTAAACAGTTGTTCCTCTTCAGAGTCCCTCCAGATACAGATACACTGTCCTGCCACTACGCAGTCACACTGGCTAATGGTACAGACAGTTCCTCCCCATTTCCACTTGTCCTCCAGTATAGCTGACTCCCTTGTAACACCTTATGACCAAGGGCACGTAGAAGTGCACCTTCTCCAGCACTCATTTCTACTGCACCCCCTCTGATACATCCACTGCTTAAATTCAACTTTTCCATCACTAAGACTAAGGACAAGCAGGAAATTTCCGGATAAAATTCACCTCTCCAGATCCTCTCTCATTCTATAGTATTGTACTATTTCAGACATAATGTAGCTAGAATCCCCAGTGAAGATGTATCATCTGTTATGTTACAAGTGGGTGATTATATTTGATGTTTTATTCTCGTCTTTCACTGTTCTAACATTTTGTTTGCTGCTGCTACATGACTACAAAATGCATTTCAAGCATTTCTTCAGTCACAGTACTGAAGCGGAAGACCTTTTTTTTACCCCCTACATACTGATAAAGCACTCATGAAGAAAAGAGTCCGAAATCCAAATACAGAGGACACTATTATCCAAATAAATGAGTCCCTGTTTCCTACCCGCACCAAACTAATTGCATTGACAAATACCAGCTCTACCAGCACAATTTCAATTAATTTTAAAAATCTGTCTTAAGTCACAAGCTTCTGTATGGAATCTAAATTCACCAAAGTTTAAAGGTCGAAGTTTTTGCCAAATTCTCGAGTCTATTACTATTTACTTGCTTAAAATATATATTAAAAAAAAAAAAAAAAAAGAAAAAAAAAGAAAATAAACCATGGGTACACAGCTATTGAGGAACTACGAGCTCCCTGCAGGACTTCCTTGAAAAATAAACAAGAAACAACCAAAGCAGCCCCTTCTCAGATGCAGGTACAAGTGGGGTTGCATGAACTGAGCATATGTTCATGCAAACACTTAATTTGAAATTTCCCCTTAAAGCTCAGGACAGATTCCCTTCACAACTTCCCAGACATGATTCAGGTTCACAGCACAGCCTGAAATTAGTCACATTTGACGTGATTTCCAGTTTTAGTGCAGGTCTCTCACAGTTACAGGCTGCATCCAAAGGATGCAGTTTTGGGGCTATACCACACATCTCCTGTGACATGCTATCCTTAAAAACTAAAACCACAGCACTTTCTTTCACAGAAACATTACTTGCCATGAGGAAAGTTAATGGCCATGAGTACGCCCCTTTGCTCATGGCTGGCAAGCTCTCTTCCTTCTCACTCCTGCCTCCTGAGAACAATACAGTCAATGTCCAGCCACTCAGTGGGAGACAGACCCAACATTCAGAAGTTTATATTTTACAAGATTGCATTTTATATGAGGTAGACAAATAAAGGACAACAACATTACTTATTTTTCATGAGCTAAATAGAGGAGGTCTGCGATCTACCTCAATGCTTCTTGATCACTTTGGAGAACCAAGCCCTGTGCCAGCCCTTCTCCCAGCCACCCACCAGACCATCCTCTCCCCACATGGAAGGGGAATTTAAATACCACCTGTGGATGATAGGGCTTCCCAGTGCAGCTGAAACAGTCCTGCTCCTTGCAGATTTAAAAATACTAACGTGCACCAAAGTGCAAAACTAAGCCCAGACAGGTTCAAGTTCACTGGAGAAAAAAAAAAAAGTGTTTTAGATTTCAGAACATATCATTTACTTTAAAAATAACCAGAAATTCAGGAGGTACCTTTATAGATTTTTAAATAGCTCAGCTGAAAACCAACTCTCTTAATGAAAAACAATAGCAAATTACTTGGTTATTAATCTCATGCACAGAGGCAATTATTTCCCAACTGAGACTTTTATTTAAAAAAATAATCATATAGATTATTTTGGAAAGTTGACAAGTCTGCTTCTTGGCCTCGCTTTCTCTTGCTGTGTCTTAATTTGCATAAACATGACATTAAAAACTGAAAGAATTGCTTTAAAAAACAATTACTCCATCAGCAAAACCTGACAGTGCAGAATTCAACTGTACCACAGAGATCATCCTCATAAGAAGAAAAAAAAAGATATTTTTTCCCTTTTCCTGACATTAAAACACCTCTCACTTCTAACAGGACTACAGTTCAAATTTATGTTTTAGAACCTTTTAATAATTGAACATGTGTAAATATCATTATTTTTAGACGCACTGCAGCAGAGAGCAAAGGAAAAAAAATCCCACACCGAGCACCTTGACAGGGCTGTTCAACCCAAAGGGGGAAGGGTTATACAAGATCTTACCATGTTGAGACGAAAAAAAAACTAAGACACCTTCCTATTATCATGCTGCGCTTGTCTCTCGAAGCTTTTGTTCCATTAGAAACTTGTTAATTGCTGCCTTAGTAACAAAGGAACAACATGCTGTGGTGGGACTATTAGGAGTCTACGTGCCTTGTTCACCCTTAGAAAGGCAGAGGGGTTTAATTGGCTACGTATTCTTAGAAGATGCAATAAAGTGGGATAATCAATGGTGTCAGCGTTTAATAATGGAGATTATTCACAATGTGGAAGAGAAAGCCCAAACCTTCATTAATAAAAAGCTATTTTTTGCATGACCACAGAAAAAACGTGAATGACTGGATGTAGAATTTATGAAGTGCACAGCCAAGAAAACCTGCTCTCTAGGAATTTTAGAAGGCCATCATCACTTCATCGGGCTGACGAGTCTATTCTTCCAGTTCACCAGAAAAGAGATCTGCAGCCTCAAATGCAAAACAGCAATTTATAAGTCAGTTTACCCAGAACACACACTGCTCAATTGTATCAGCTCGCTAATAAATAATTCCCTTAGTACAGAAATGCAAGGGCTAAAATACTTCTTCAGCCCTCCTTGGCAAAACTTAAGCTTTCTGTAAATCTCTCCTGTATTACCTAATGCAATATTATCATGCTAATCCTATTGAACTGCAATTTATTTTTCCCTTAGATTTTTCATGAGAAACAGCACACAACATACTCAAACAAGTTTCAGATTTAAGTACTCATTTAAGGTGGGTGCAATTTTATGGAAAGAAGTCAAATGGTTGCCTAGTACACCTGGTTTGCATGAGGTCTGAAGTCTCCAGAGCTTTCTCCAAGCACATTTGACTTAAGATACCAATATCAACTCTAAGCACTACATCGAGGTTAGTTTCCTGGAGCTGGATTTCAGCAGAGCTCTCTTTCCAAATGAGCAGTTTAGTAAGTTTTTAGATACTCTCCCTCAGGAAGCCGTCAGTCTGTTGGTGTCACTGCCAGTTTAGGAGAATTCAGCCTTTATTCAACTGCCCATACAGAAGTAGAACATCTCAGGGAAAAATAGAGTAGGACCATAATGCTGTACACAATTCTCAAATCTACAAAGCCTGTATTGCAAAACAACTGGGCCACCCAAAAATATTCAAACACTGCACTTGGTGCATGACATTATGGCCTATGGTTCCTCTTGGCCTATTTCTAAATGACATTTTGGTATTTAGAATTGGGTGGGCAGCATCTCACATTTTGTCTTGCAAACAGCAAGAAGTTACCTTCTCCTCTTCGCTAATTTATTGTCTCATATCTGTAAAGCAAAAGGATCTCCGCAAAGCAAGGCAATGGGAATTATTTGTTTCACTGCTGCTGATTTTTTTAAAAAAAGCATTTTTGTTTAATACTTTAAGAGGAGCTAGTAGCCTTTCCAGCAAGAGATACAGCAGAAGGTCAAGCTCATGGCCTTTTCCTCCTCCTTGCAGCAAGCATCCTCAGAGAGCTGTCAGAGGGACCCAAAACAAACGCTCATCTTAAACAAACGTCCTTTGTTTATTAACAACTGGATTTGTTTCTTGTTTGTGTAGACTCACCAGTGTTTGGCATGAGACAGAGAGGCAGAAAGGGCTAAGGGTGACCACAAGGACCATCCATTTCTTTTTCCATAACACAGCCCCTTTGTGCAAAGCAAATGTCAGCTCCAGCATCAGTTGTGATCACAGCTTGTTTGCACACCTTCACCATCCCTCTCAGGCCCTTTGGGGTTCAACAGCAAACTGCAATATAGGCAGCTTTAACTGTAGGTATCTAGAGGCTCCAGTGGGACCAAAGGTATTTTCCTATAAAAAGGAGCCCAGATCTCTGGCAGCTCCGCTGGCTGTGGATTTATGCTGCGGGGCTCAAGCCTGGCACCTCCCATGCATC